TAGGAAGTGGTGAAATAATCAGATTACATCCTTCTCAATATGCCAACACTGGGAAATAATTGGTGCACAAAGGAAATAGGTTTTATCTTTTCCTTCCTTGCATAGAATAAGAGCTTATGTACACAGGGCATTTGGAAAACTCTTCTGACCACTGGAAACTGACTGCTAGAAAACGTAGGTTAAAAAAGTCAGTTTAGCTGCGTCTGTATACTGCCTTTTATGCGCATTTGTGTTTAGAAGCGTTTTTAAAAGATAACCTTAGGAGACCTTCCCAAATGCCCAGAATGCACTGAAAAATGGTAAATAATTAACTATTTCAGACATTTTGAGAGAAATAGAGAGAGCAGAAGCAGGGAGAGCAGTATGTGTTGAGATGACCTGTCTTTTCTGGTTGTATTCACTATGGATCCCATCATGAGCATAATGCGGCACGTTCTACCATTTTTTGCTTCACGCGAAACCTGGAACTGACTGTGCTGGTGTACTAGGTCCTTTTTGAATACATGGAAAAGGCTTTGCATGCATTTTTGATGAAGAAAAAAGGCTCTGGACAGCATCTGGATATGGACCTGTCAAAAAAAACGCGTCTAAATGCAAACGTTTGTAAACATGAATTGTTTTATCCCCATCAACCAGCCTTGTGATCCAGACACCCCTTCTGGATAGTGCAGACAGCTCCTGGACCTCTTTGCAGACTACAGCCTGGTCCGGATCCCACCCCAGCCTGATGGTTCCAGGGCTCTTCCCTTCTGTATTAGCTTGTTAGACTAAAGCACTGCATGCAGCAATAGAGTGCTGTCCCTCTTTCACAGTGCTGCTGTTCATAGGAGGACAGGCTTTGGTATATAGGTTGAAAAAAAGGCACAGATCAATATAGTTCAACCAATAGGATAAATAGGCAAATGGAAAACCTCCATACACAGTATCAAGAAAGGAAGGTAGGTCCTGCTGTACCAGCGTCCCGAGATCCCCCCACTGTCAAGCCTTGGGATGCCACCTCACCTCTCCTCCCCTCTCCTCCCAGCACTGACAGAACGAGCTAGATAGATTCTGATTGGTTACGCGGTCCATGTGACAGTGCTGACCAATTAGCCTCTTGTCCATACACTGAGGGGTACGAATAAGACATTAAAGGATAAGCTCACCTTTCTGAAAAAATAATAAATGCACATTTTTTTTTGCAGCATTGCAGCAAGGATCAGTAGATCGCTGGTGACATGCAGGTCTCCTGCAGACCTGTCAGAATATCTGCTTTCCATATGGGATGAACGAGCAAGAAGCTATTCTGACTGGAAGCTTCAATGAACTACCTTGATTCTCCACAGCGCCGTGGTAGTTCATGAAAACTACAAGTTCACAGCTGCTAAGGCTGCTAAAGCCGACGGCCGTGCTGTTTTCAAATCTGACAGTACGGGGGGAAGCTTCCCTGTACTATCTGTCAGAGGAAGGGGGGGCGGCGGGCACGGCTGCAGCTATGAGAATATGTTCCAACCTAAAATTGGGTGGAACATGTAACATTCCCAAAGGTGATCTTATCCTTTAAGCCGTAGGGATTTCAAATCCCTGGATCAGTGAAGGGGCATCTCATTGTCTGACAGTGGATAGTTGACAAAAGCTCAGGCACCAGGACACAATTTCTAGTTGCCATGGCAACTTGGCACCTGGGATTTGTCAAGCCCTGCATTATATGATATATATTTTTAAAATTTAATATCTGCCTACAGCTTTTGTATAGAGCTGTGTTGCTGCTTGTACTGAAATTCACAAATCCGTGCAGGCAAATATTTTTGGACTACTGGTATTGTAGAGGATGTTTTAACTGCATTTCTCAAAACAGTGCAGCACTTAAAATAAAGTGAAATGCAAACCCAGCTATTACCTTGGCAAACTCCATATACACCTATTAAACCGAAGTAAGTGAATGTGTCTGTGAAAATGTGAATAAACCCAAATACTAATGCAATTATTACTCCATGAGGTTAAATGCAGGATGATTGGTGCATTGTATATTTACATGTCCTAATATGTGGGCATGTGCTCTAATATAATATAATAGTCTGTTTTTCCAGATTATATACATTACATACCATCACAACTGAGCCCACACTAGAATAGAATCACGTCTCTGTTTTGGGGGTGGCGAATCGGCATTCTCTTGCTAATGTAAGGATTGGTTAAGGAATATGAAATCAAATTACCGTATTTTTTGCTCCATAAGACGCACCTGACCATAAGACGCACCTAGGTTTTAGAGGCAGAAAACAGGAAAAAAAATTCTGAACTAATGGACTGCAGACATAGTACAGGAGATGACCAGAGACTGCGGACAGTACAGGGATGACCAGTGACTGTGGACAGCGCAGGGATGACCAGAGACTGCGGACAGCACAGGGATGACCAGAGACTGCGGACAGCACAGGGATGACCAGAGACTGCGGACAGCACAGGGGATGACCAGAGACTGCGGACAGCGCAGGGATGACCAGAGACTGCGGACAGCGCAGGGATGACCAGAGACTGCGGACAGCGCAGGGATGACCAGAGACTGCGGACAGCGCAGGGATGACCAGACAGCGCAGGAGGATGACCAGAGACTGCGGACAGCGCAGGGATGACCAGAGACTGCGGACAGCACAGGGGATGACAGACTGCGGACAGCGAGCGGACAGCGCATGACCAGAGACTGCGGACACAGTACGCAGAGACCAGAGACTGACAGCGCAGGGATGACCAGAGACTGCGGACAGCGCAGGGATGACCAGAGACTGCGACCACAGTACAGGAGATGACTGCTGACCTTTGGGGGAGGGGGGGGGAGCAGGTACCTGAATTTGACAGGTACCCGCTCTTACTTCCGCAGAGTTTTTTTTTTTTTATCTTACCTGTTCCTCTATCCAGCCGCACGCTGTCTTCCCGGCTTCTGTAGTGTGGGCGCTCGTCGGACAGCCGGATGCCCAGTGCGCATGCGCGAGAAGCGCTGCGCTTTGTGATTGGTCCGGCGGCTTCTGGGATCTGTCATGTGTCCCAGGTACCGCCTTACCATTCACAAAGAGCACTGCTTCTTGCGCATGCGCACTTGGGACCCGGCTGTCACGGACACTACAGAAGCCGGGAAGACAGCGCGCCGCTGGATAGAGGGACAGGTAAGGTCCCACTGCAGAGCTGAGCGGCCGGCCCCAGTATTCTGACACGGGCAGCGGTGGAAATACCGGACCGGCCGCTCTATATTCGCTCCATAAGACGCACTGACATTTTCCCCCCTTTTTTGGGGGGAAAAAAGTGCGTCTTATGGAGCGAAAAATACGGTAGTATTATACTTTTCTGTTTTTTTTTTTTTTGTTTTTTTTTTTAGTTTAACACATCCCCCAGTAAACCATTTTGTTAGTTATTACCCCAGCTCTTGCAGTTTACAGCTCTTGGTGCTGCTTCCCTGAACTTCCAAGACAGATTGGAGAGTGCAGTATCTGGTCAGTCTGATAGTTTAAAGAAGGGAGGGGGATGAGGAGGGAGGAGCAGGGGAGTGCCTTCCCATCCTAGGCTATGGAGCTGTATGTTTCTATTGATGCACACAATGTAGGAAGACACAACTGTATCCCCTACATGCAAGTGATGCTGCAAGAGAAAGAGAAGCCATCCTGAAACAGAATACTTGGGTTGACAATCATGGCACCCAGCTCATACCAGAACATAGACAATGAATATAAGATGAAGACGCTGAATACTCAGAAAGTGATTACATCAGCTGCTGAAAGGGCTTGCAAAAACAAAGGTCTATCATCACTTTAACTATTTAAGTACAAAAATAAATTCCAAATGTATTTTCTAATCATTTAGGGGCCTGATGTATGTAGTGTAGAATTATTTTCAACAGCTGAAGCAACACTGCTAATTGCACCATGAAGGAAGTCTATATGACTGCGAAAGTTTAAAGACGAGGAAATAACCTAACCATTTAGGAGGTAAAAGTGATCTCTCAGGAATGTTTAATATGTTATCACACATCAGGGCCTGCTTGTTAAACTTGCTAGTTGAAACTCCGTAGAGAGATATGTGTAAAATCTCATTCTGATTACACAATGACAAATATGTAACCGTGTATAATATGTAGCCTCTGGCAGGTACACATGTTCTTCCATCAATGTCTAAACACTAGTGTCTGTAATTATATCTGTGGTGGTCAACTTACTTGGGTCATGTTGTTGATATTGTTTGAGCTAGGGTTGTCACCTCATCCCTTTTAAACCTGAACATGTATTAATTACACAGGTTCTGAGGCTAATTTAACTACTTGCCCTCCAGAGGATTTACCCCCCTTCCTGACCAGGCCATTTTTTGTGTTACGGCGCTGCGTTACTTTTAACTGACAATTGCACAGTCATGCAACGCTGCATGTTTAATAGATGAATGTAAAAAGTTTTTTTTTTTCTCAGAATTGTCAGGTTTTTTTTTTATAGCGCAAAATAAGAAAAAAACGCACAGGTGATCAAATACCACCGAAAGAAAGCTGTATTTGTGGGATGAAAAAATGAAAATAAATTTCATCTGGGTGCAGCATTGCATGACTGTGCAATTGTCAGTTGCAGTAAAGCAGCGCCATAACGCAGAAAATGGCCTGGTCAGGAAGGGGGGTAAATCCTCTGGAGGGCAAGTGGTTAAACCTTTGTGCTGAATGCACTAGATGCGCGGCCTAGTGAAATGCATCACTTCCGCAGTATTGGAATATTTATTTCCCATAGGCAATGTACAGGTTCTCTATGTTCTTGAAACTTTTACGGTGAATTTTGTTTTCTAGAATATGCAGTGTTGGAGTGCATTCAGTGCAGGTTGTGTAGTTTCATGCACTTCTATAAATATAGAGATTCTTTATCCCTAAATTGTCCTGTGGTGAATGTATTCAGACATATTGGATTGGCTTGTACCAGATCTTATTGAATGTAAGGCTGTATGTCGAGATTTTGCAGTGGTAGCATTGTTAACCCGTGTCTTTCTTCTTCCTGCAGATCATTTTAGGAGAGGCATTGTCGGTATATTATAATCAGGTGCAGTCTAATGGCTTTATCAGGAATCAGTATGTGGCAACCCTTTACAAAGCCATCGGGACTTTCATCTTTGGAGCCGCCGTAAGCCAGTCACTGACAGATATCGCCAAGTACACTATAGGTCGCCTCAGGCCTCACTTTCTGGATGTTTGCAAACCCAATTGGTCCAAGATCAACTGCAGTGCCGGCTACATTGTGAACTTTGCCTGTGAAGGGGATCCTGTGAAGTCCAGCGAGGCCCGGTGAGTGCATTGTATTTCCACATAGCGCCTGTAGAAACCGTGCTTTTGTTAGTCTCAGGTGGATTTTTAATTCCCATACAAGTCAATGGGTCTATAAAACTTGCCTGAAACAGGTAAAATGCAGGTCAGCTGCAGGCACCAGTCAATAAATTCTGATCCACGGTTCACATCTATGTGGCTGTGCGGGCCGCGTTTTGCACGGGCACGAGAGCTCATTCATTTGAACGGACTCCCGTGCCCGTGACATGCAGGAAAAGAAGTCTCTACACTCCTTTGGAAAACGCAGCCCGCAGGGGAACCTCGGTTCCCAGTACTGTTGTGTTTCCCAGTGCGGTCGGCGTGCACGGGTTTTCGTGCGGATCTGCAGCGGCACCACCCACACAGATGTGAACTTAGGGTGAATGATCTCAGAAGTGTCTTAAACTGATGTCATAGACACAAGCCGAAAGCCCCTTAACACTGGTCCATACATATATCTGATGTTGGGCTCCACATATGAATTCAGAGGTAGTTTTCTGCACAATAACTGTCTGCTGTTGCAGGTATCCCTTGGTAGTGGTTGTGTGTACATTAATCTTGCCATACATTATACAATTTTATTATTTAATTTCCTTTTAGATTGATGTATGAGCCTATACTGTAAGTTCAGAATGATTTAACTGCAAAAATAAAATTTGAAGTTAATATGAATAAGCATAGTTTAGCTCTTTGAAAATATAAGGGATTTATAGGGGCCAATGCACATTATGGAGTCACTGACACTAAGGATGGCCATACATTATACAATTTTCTTGAGAAATTTGGTTTAGATTTACCAAAAACCATATAATATGAGGTCAAACCTAAATAACACTTTCAATTGTATCCAATTAGACAGGCCCTTGCGCTACATAGTTGAAGTGCAAGATCTGGTGCAGCTGTGCATTGTAGCCAATCGACATCTAACTTCAGCTTGTTCAATTAAGCTTTGGCAATGAAGGCTGGAAGCTGATTGGTTTCTATGCAGAGCTGCACCACATTTTGCACTCTCCAGTTTTAGTAAATCCACCCCTAAATGTCCACACTTTAGGGAACATATATACTGATGTGACGGATGCAATGTACTTTGTAAAGTGCTGGTTAATTGTCAGTGCTATGGAAACACGTGACATACAGCATGCCAGGGTGCTAGGGGTAACCCTGGATTCTGAACTATCCTTTCAAGCTAACATTCAATCCCTGTCCAAATCATACCACCTCAACCTCCACAACATCTACAGAATAAGCCCCTTTTTAACCAATGACAACACAAAGCTCCTAATTCACTCCCTTGTTATCTCTCACCTCGACTATTGCAACTCAACTCCCTCCTCATTGACTTACCTTTACATAGACTATCCCCTCTCCAGTCCATCATGAGTACTGCTGCCAGGCTCATCCACCTTACCAACCATTAATTGTCTGCTACCCCTCTCTGCCAATCCCTCCACTGGCTTCCACTCGCACAACAAATAAAATTCAAAATACTAAAAACAACTTACAAAGCCATCCACAACTCTGCCCCCAGCTACATCACCAACCTGGTCTCAAAATATCAACCAAACCGTTGTCTTCGATCCTCCCAACACCTTCTGCTCTATAGTTCCCGTGTCACCACCTCCCATGCTCGCCTCCAGGACTTCTCCCATCTTATGGAACTCCTTACCTCCGCAAACGGCCCCAGCAGCACTGCTGCCCAGACCGCCAGCTTGCAATGACAGATCCACCACTGAGCAGGGCGGTCGTCACGGCAGCATGACATCACATGTGCACCCCACCCCTTTCAGCTTGCTGTCTCTCCAGCTCCCGCTCCCTGTCTGTACACAAGCATCCTTCAGCAAGGATCCCGGCACAGCTCCTGTCTGCCCTCCAGGTAGGGTGTAGTCTTACAGGGGCACTCTGATGGGCACATTGAATGTTAAGGGAAACTCTGATGGGCGCAACATAGAATGTGCCCATCAGAGTGCTCCTTAACATAGCAAATGCCCATCAGAGTGCCCCTTAACATAACATAAAATGTGCCCGTCAGAGTGCCCCTTAACATAAAATAAGGGGCACTCTAAAGGGCACAACATATAATGTGCTTATCAGAGTGCCCCTCAACATATGCCCATCAGAGTGCCCCTTATTTTATGTTAAGGTACACTCTTAAGGGCACAACATATAATGTGCTCATCAGAGTGCCCCTTAATATAAATGTGCTCATCAGAGTGCCCCTTAACATGTGCCCATCAGCATGCCCCTTATTTTATGTTAAGGGGCACTCTGGGTACATTTTATGTTAAGGGGGCACAAATGGGCACATACTATGGAAAGGAGCGCGCTCTGATGGGCACATGTGATGGAAAGGGAACTCTGATGGGGAATATGATAGAAAGGGGTACTTTGAGTGTAAGGGGGCACTCTGACGGGAATACCTAATGTAAGGTGGCAATGTGATGGGGATACCTGATTTAAAGGGGCACACTGATGGGCACACCTGATGTGATGGGAATATATGATGTAAAGTTGCACTCTGATGGTGACACCTAATCTAAGGGGGCACACTGATGGGCACACGCTATTCAGACCTCGTCCAGAAGAAAATTTTAGTGACCGGAGTCCTTGAATTTTAATTCAATACCTCTGTCCTAATCTATCCACCTTTTAGATGATCCCTGAAAACCTTTCTAATTTAAAACAAGCCTTTTGTATCACTGAAACCTTCCTTCTAGATTGTAAGCTCTAACGAGCAGGGCCCTCTGTTTCCTCTTGTACCAAATTGTATTGTAACTGTAATGTCAGCCTTCATTTTGTAAAGCGCTGAGCAAACTGTTGGCGCTATATAAATCCTGTATAATAATAATAATTATAAGTGAATTCTTCACCATGTGCTGCATTTAGTGCTCTGTGTGTGAGTGCCTGAGAGCTGTCACAATGTGCTTAGCAGACTGACTGTCTACAGGGCTCATTGATTGACATCCCTGATTGTTCAGCCAGCTGTTTCTTTCCACCACTCAGTGAAGGCCTTGGAGATTTCAGCGAGCTCCAGAGTGGTTTTTCCTTCTTTGTACCTCAGTGAGATCCTACAGTCCAGGAACAAATGCCTGTTGCAGAACTAAACTGAATACAAATCCAGAATCGCTTTCACAAACTTTATGAATTATATTGTTTTGAGGTTCAGGATCAAAACTAAGCTTGGCAGTAGGCATTGGATGGCAGCTACGTTTTTGCACATGATCGGTTAGCTGAGCCCTTTAGAACGGGTTTAGTACATAGACCTGCACATTCACATTCCCCACATACATGTGTGCATATATACACTGCACAAATCCCACCTCCAGATGTGCGTTCCAACATGTGACTGAAGCCGATATATCTGTTCCAGGGCCTTTCAGTATTTGCTATTAAGGCCTTTCTGTCTGTCTGATGGTCCTTACTTGAGTTGGGCAATCTCAGAATGTCCACTCTTTTTCACTTGTATACAACAGCAGAATGGGATCAATCCATATAAGATGGAAAGGTTCTGTACACTGCAAATACTTATACCTGTACACCCCAAGATAGATGCTGGATCTCCAGTGGTTCCTTTTCCTTCTCAGAATTCAGTATCCGCAGAGTTCTGGGACGGTAGGCACACTCCAAGTTGAAAGCCACATACTGTATGTGGCTATATCATTATATCTGCCCTCTGACCTGTTCTAATCTTATTGAGCTCACTCCTGAGTAGGTCTAAGTTGAAGGTTACATGAATGGTCTTCCATTCTATAGCCTTCAGACACGGCTTTCGACATGGTGTGGGTCTGTCTTTGCTTTTTACTACCATTGAATTAAAGGCTTGTTCTCAGCACACATCAGTTTAGGTGCATCAATCTGCTCAGATCAATGCAGGCTCAATGCCAGGGTGCATGGAGAGCAGTTGTCTATGTGCCCTGTTCCCACCATAATGCTATGATGGGATGGGCTGTGGTATGTAAGAATGCAGACATGCGTCATTATTTTTTAATTTTTTCATTTTTGCAATGACCCGCAAGATTACAGTTGCAGAGTATGGGAGAGTGGCATAGGACTTCAGATTTCTGCTATGACAGCTGGCACCAGCACAAAGGACACTTTTCATTAAATGGCAGTTACATCCTTTGTGATGATTTAAAAAAAAAACAAACTAAATTTAGGCTTTAACCAATCATTTATAGCACATCATTTCTTCATGGTACTTCTAACTTTTAGGAGTAGGCATGTCAGGGTGTGTCCTTTTACTTTTTGTACTTTGAGATGAGAAAGAAGGGCACCTTTTAGCACAGACACTTGAGAAGTACTGTATGCACAAGCAGGATTTTTTTTCTGCTACAACTGCAGAGGAAAGGCTTTTGAAACTTGGCCTCATCCAGGCTGATATATAGCTGTGCTAATTCTTGGCACGGGTCTCTCCAGCTTAGAGGAATATTGGGGTGCTGGGCCTGTTACTATAATTATATGTAACTTGACTATTGGTGTGGTTAACTTGATATTACAAGTGCCTTTTATTTCAAAGGTCTGCTGTGAAGGTTTCAGGAACCCTGCTAACAGTATTATTAGCACACATTCCCCTGTATGTCTGGAGGATTGTCAGCTTAGCTGCATTTCAAAGGAAAAATAATCATTTTATGGTCTTGAGTATACAGCTTCCAATCCTGTGCCCGGTGTGGGAAAGGGATATTGTAATCAGGATATGTGAATGGAATGATGGCTTCTCTGAGGAGGTTTTGTCACACTGTAGAGGCAGATATCACTTACAGTGCTTACATCGCTTCTTTGACTCAAGACTTCCTTAGACATTTGTCTGCTATGGTTTACGGCCTGGCAGCATCAGTCTGTGGGAGAAAAGCGTTCTTGTTAAAGCCTAACTCTAGCCAAATGCTAAGAAAAATGACCACCTCTGTGTCACATCCAAAATATTGTATAACCTCAACATCAAAATATGTATACGGACTTTACTGGTACAAATGAGATTACGCTTCAAAATTTAAAAAAAAAAGT